TAATCCTATATCGTTACGTATAGCTTCGCATTAAACGTGGCGCGGTTTACGACGACGTTCTGATCGGGTTGATTTGGTAAAACGTGGTTTACGTACGTTTCGTGCCGTATGAAGCCCGGACGAGTGTGCGGTCACTTGCGATAAATGACATGTGTGCTCGAGCGTGACAAACGTCCGCAGAATTGAACGACGTTCGTCGTGGATCATCGGGGTTTCGCATATCGTACTTTTTGCAAAATGAGAAATTGCTTCGTTAGTTTAATTGTTTACGTCATTATGTCAAATGAATTTCGCGAGTTTGAAATAATCACGCGACATGGTTCCCCTTTTAACACGCTAATAACGTTCTTCGTTCCGCTATTTCGTATAATCGGGACCGCGTATATTTGTCCTATTTAAAGTAGTATGCAACTAATGGTAGATACAGCGCTAATGGAGATTAATGAAATTTGTAAAGTCTTCCTACGAAGTAACGTTACGAAGACGAAAACTGTCGCGAATGGAACCTCTCGCAATTTCGCGAATTTCGCTTCTTTATAGAAATTCGCGAATTTCTCTCTGCTGTTGTATGTCGACTACTTCCAACTTCTTTTTTCCCGTGACAAGGTGACGGTATTTTGGCAAGACGCAAGACAATATTCGCGTTACAATAACGTTTAAAGTTACTCGAGAGAGGGAACACGAGACGATTCCGTCGTGGAATGAAACATGGTTTGGCGCCGGAAGCGAAGAGAGACGCCCGGATTTTTAAACTGCGGCTTTCAATTCGGGGGATAAATCTTTTAATTTATGTAAACCTTCGAAAGGTATAAAATCTACTTAAGTCCCTTCGGCCACAATGAATTCACGTAAGCCGGCTGTGAAGTTTTAAGTCATTTTCATAACTTCACCGGGAAGTTCGTCAACTTTCTCTCTCTCGCTTGTCGACCGATCATCTCTCGACTTATCCCCCGCGGGAGCCGCCTCCGTCTCGTCTTTACCTTCGTAGATCGCGCCATGTGCCACTTAATAACGTTGTAAAGGGTAAAGAGACTTCCGGACGAAGTCGATCGCTTCTTAATTAGCGAAGTTCGCACGCTTTGCTTCTCGTATCACTAACGAAGTGCGGAGAACAAATATGGTAGGATGTGCCAGCGCGATCTCTGCATAATCCTCTCATTTCCACAACCCATCACGAGAACCACATTTTCATCCCCGTTTTGCATCGCGTTTAGCACTATATGGCTGTCTGATCCCGAAGTCTCCTTCTTAGAGGCCAATTAATAAAACGAAGGTGCGTATCAGATGCACGAATAAAATGGTTTTACTGAAGTATGTAAAAATTCAGCTAGATACAGATCTGAAAATAATTTTGTTGGAATAACCAAATTAATGTACATTTATTTTATTTTATTTACTTGACTATGAAAATAATTGTTTTATTTCGGAACGATTTTTAAGTTGTTCGTAATTTGATCATTTATTTTGGTTATTTTGTTGGATTATCAAAATAATTATGTAGAACAAAATAATTATGTTATATCGATACGTAAATTTTACGTACAAGTGAACGAGGTCATTAGGCGCTAAGCTATATCTTCAGTAATTATTAGGATGTCCAATTTGCTATATTAAAAACTAGAATAAGCGGAGATAAACTTTTAAAAATTCTGTCCATTTTTTTATATGTACAATTTGAACTCTCTGGTGGTCAGTATTATAACAAAGCGTGATGAGTAATTTCAATTTTTATGCAATTTTATGTTATTATTTTGGATCATTATATATTTTATTTCAGTGTTATATATGAAGAGACACAAAATTGGACGTACTTTATATTATTTTAAGTTTAAATTTAGTATTATACGTTCATTTTTTTTCTTTCCTTTAAGTTAATAATTAAATCATTTGTATTTAGAAAGATTTAGATTATAAATATTTTATTCATTAAAAATGAAATGTATAAAACATTTCACGTTACATTAATTAAAAATGGCCTATTTTCTTATACGTAAAATTTACGTATTGTTAGCAATATTGTATCACTCAATAGCGACAACATTCTACAGTCAAACGTTGATAATAATGTTACAAAAAGTTTTAATATTCTTTTAATTAATATCCTAGTCCGAGCGTCCTACATAATTATTTTGATGTTACAAACAAAATTATTTTCTGATCTGTATCTAGTGAATTTTTAGATATTTCAGCAAAATCATTCTTTCCGTGTGTCTAGATTTAGTGTTAAATGCACGGTAAAGATACGGGTTTCAGTCTGATGAATTAGAAGAGTATGAGACTTAACGGTTCCAAACGATGATACGAATGGTAACCAAAAATACATATTTGTGTGAAGAGAGAAAGAGTGAAAGAGAAAAGGGAGAGAGGTAAGCCTAGTTTTCTGTTATAGCGTGACACTTCGAAAGATGTTAGAAGGTTTCTTATAATCCTGAGTAAAATGGCTGTATTTTTCTAACCTGATACTTTCCCCTCTGTACATATATGCGACACATGTATATGATATGTATCGATACACTCATGACGATGTACGACACACGTGAAGACGATGTCACGATTTGCAAGAGCAAGTCGACATAGCGCTGTATATCTGTGTAAATATTCTAAGTCTAATTGGAGGAGCATGTTTACGTCTGTTGTGTGCACGTTTATGGAGGAGTATGACGGAGTTTCTGACGATTCCCGATAATCGAGTGAGAATTATAGAAACTTCCTGCGAAACGATCGGCACGCTGTCTTTCGAGGATGAAAGTGTTGGAATGCTATAACGTTAAAAAAAACAGAGATATATATTATACATAGTATATTATACGACGTAACGTACGCGCGTGTTATGCCGATGCGTGAGATCGGATGCTGTGTTTTCCTATGGATTTCTTATTTATTATCACCAATGGTCTATACAGGGCATAGGTTTAAGAAAAGAACTTTTAATTTGCTGAGATTTAAACCGCGAGAAAATAAGAGCGTAAAAAGAAATTTAAAAATGCTGTGTGTATACTGAAGGCAATACATATACATACTTAAGAGAGCGTGAAAAAATACACGAAAACACATTCACATGCGACATGAACATACATACACACAGAACAGGACACTTGTTAAAAGTAATAAATTATAGTATAAATTAAAAGTGATCTTCTAATTTTTACCTCCAGATCACATCTCTTTTCACTTCTGGATCACACGATATTCCAAAAAGAACGATGTATAATTAAATGATAAATAAATATGCGCGTACATGAAAGTTATGTTTCCGCAACGAGTCCTTACTATAATAACGAGTCTATTAATGAATGCCGTGTAAAATAATATCGCTAATGAATTTCGACACGGCACGTGTATTAAAATGAGTCGCGATCCTGCACTCGGAAATGCATACGATAAAAAAATTTCGCAACAGTTTCAATTACGGATGAAATAATGAAAAATAACGAAAGAGCCCGAATCCAATTTGCAATTAAATCGCTCATGCTATCTTCATAAAATGCATGAATGAAGTAATCTAACGTAAGCCGACGGTACATTATTCACTCTACGGCGCGGAGAAATTCTAGAATGGAAAATGAGATAAACCTATATTATTCTCACCAGAGCATAATTAAGTGTGAAACTTACAACTGACTTCTAGTCAGTCGACTTATTGCTAGAAAAATAATTAAAGTGGCGGATGAATGTGAAATTTATTTGGCTAAATAGCGAATCGTAAAACAACGGAGGTACACACTGGGCACACAATTATTCTGCATAATTGCTTGACAACTCGAGTGGAGATGAACTCAAAATGCAACGTACCACCGGGATATGAATACTTATATCAAACTCACTACATAGTGAAACTCTCAGAGTTTAATAAAGTTTAATATTTATAAATATATAGTATGAAACTCAGTTAAATTTAAATAATAAATTGTACTTAATATGGTTAATTACTTTTTTAAAAGTCGGAGTCCGCGATGTCAAATATATTTGTAAAAAGATAACATATGTAGTTTTAAATGTGTATATTCTATGAAGAATTGACACTTCTGTATATAAGAATATAAATAAAAAGTTAACACAAATAAATTTAAAATAATAACACTAATTTTAATGATTACAAATATTTCTAAATTTAATGCAAACTTTAAAAGTGTTTTACTGATTATACACCTGGTTTATTTTTTATTTATGTTCTCGTGGAAGTCAGTTCTTTATTCCGATCAGGTAATTTCTCCCTCTAGATATGACATCTTTTTTTCAAGTTATTATAGCTCGAATCCACGTGTGACTACATTGATTTGATTCAATGCAATCTGCAGTGACAATAGTCGCGGCCAACTATCACGGTCGTCAGCAAAATTCAATCTGCAGCGAAATCGTTTGGTGCCAACTTTTACGGACGTTTGAGGAATAAAAGGTATCCCGGAGTTTTGACCGTTTATACCCGTGTGAACATCGAGGTACTTGGACGTGTGATGAACAAAAGGAAGAGAAACCGAATGAAAATAGATAAATAGTGAAATAAAAGGTAGTACAAAAACGAACTGCAGGTGGTATGAAAACGTTATATCTGTTGTACGTGAACAATCTAAAATAATTTTTTCGCATCAAATTCTATTTGGTTTGTATATGAAGGAACTTAATTTATCGTTATCAAATATTTATCACGACAATTCTGAAATAGCGTTTCCGCGAATCCGAAATAAATTGTTACATTCAACTTCTTAATATTACAAAATTATAAACTTATAACAAACGCAATGTGTTTAACATGTGGAAATAAAAAGAATAAGAAATACATTGAAATGTTTTATATATTACTGATCACGAAACAAATTAATTGATACAATGGTTTTAGAAAACAATAAATTTTATTGATACATTTATAATACATTAAAATACTAGTAACAAAACAGATTTTTGCATTAGATAACACTGGATAATACTTAAAATTAATTAATTAAATATTATATTATGAATAACAACAAAAGATATGTACCACTTCTAATGTAATACCTTTGGTGACTTTTTCTGGTCACAGTAATTACTCAAATTTTATAAATGTATAGGTAATATTTTAAATATAATGTATACATCAAAGTAGTTTCGAATAATAGTAGTCCTAAATTGCTATTAAAGATGATATCCAACTCCAATCTGAAATAATATTTAAAAAGGTCTGTTATAATTAAATTAGTTTATATATAGTAAAAATATAAAAATTATATATAGTTATATTATATATCTTTTATATGTAGTGTGATATTTAATAATTATAATTTTTTCTAAGTAATAAGAATAAGTCTCAGTTATTTGAAAACATAGAGAAGCATATCAAATGTGCAACTTTTTGTGCGACGAAAATTATAAATTTACGAAAGTTATGAAATAAAAATTATGAAAATATTTAAACGAGTCATGTTACGATGTATTTTTTAGTTTTTGACCACATTATTTACCATGTTGTGATTTATTATTTTTAAATTTCATTCGCATTTTAGATACGTATTTGGAATTTCATCAACTTCGATATATATAAAATTCTGTGATTAAATTTAATTAAACCGTGATAAAATATAACGGTTACTATAAATATCTCCTAAACTGTGATAGAATCGCATTTAATGTTAATTCGATCTATATGCGACCCGCAAATATGCGTCATTTCAAACCTACAAGTTGGAATTCACGCGCGTGTATCGCGTATTTCACGCAATTTCAATTAATTTAATTAAATTCTCTTTATATGCACTTCCTCGGAGGATGCTCTGTAAAGGTAAACAATATAAACGTGAGCATGTGCCAGTCGATATTTCAACGAGCACAATTTGTTTCAGCCGACGTCGGGACTTGTTTCATCTTTAATCCCTTACGATTAATCATATTTACCGACTGCGAAAATAATTGCCGCCGTAACAAAACAAGCAACGCACGATACGCTGCTTCCTCCTGTCTTCTGTTGGCCGAGGTAGAAACTTCTCCGGGTGTAATTAATGTAAATAAGAAACCCAGGTGACTACGAATGAGATGCCTCATTTCTCTCTGCCTACCTTCGTTTCTTCCATCTTACGGTCCCGCGGAAAGAGAGCCGACACCTGCGGCACTCGGCACGCGGAATGGCCGTATCTCGCGTTAAATTTTTGAAGGATTTACGAGCGGCATTGCGCCTGAACGTAGAGCACGCGGAACATTTTATTTGTGCTCTTGCACAAAGCGAAAAACTTTCATTCTTGAAGAGAACACACATTTCAACGCCCGGCACCGAAGAAATAGCGCAATGATTTTTTTGTAATGCCGAAAGTAATACCGAGGAGAACTCGCAATGTTATTTAAATATCTGTATTTGATTATGATCTTCTAATGTGTTGCTAAGCAAAAAATTTAATATTCTTGTTATATAAATCGTCAATTGTATTTTTTTCATTTTTTTTTTTTAGTAGATACATGTAGTATTTCAATTTCTTGGAAACTCTGCAAAATATTAAAATATTTTGCAATAAAGTGTCACGTGAAATGTGACACTTTATGTATTTTTTAAACTCCATATTAAGTATATTGCGACTTTCCATTACTTTTGTATATATTACAGAAACGATGATTGACAGATAAATAAAACAAAAATAAAGAGAAAGACTCGGAAATTTTCGAGTCGCATTATTGGGCAGACGATTTACAAACTGATTTATTATAGATAATATATTTTGCACATGATTTATGCAAAATAAAATTTGTTCTAATATAACAATGCAATAAATTGGTTTCGCCTTTTGACTAAATGATTGAAATTTACATATATCAATAGATCTACAGAATTGTCAAGCACGAATGTGTATGATTAACAAAATTAGTTTACTAATTAATATTTCGTGAATACGTATATTCCATATTCATAAGCTTCCACCAGCGAACTTCCAACGTTCGATAGCATTTGCTGAAGCAAACAGACATACTTCCAAATGATAATTAGGAATCTACTGTATATAGAGAAGAGTATTGAAATTTCCAAATTGAAATATATTTAATATATGTTTGCCTGTAAATAGTCCATTTATAAAATTCTGAACACATTCTGCTCACATTTAATGCATTCACAAAATTTAACAATTAAAAAAGACTAAAAATATGTCTGCATATAAAAATAAATTTTTATAATAAAATCCTTATTGCATTCCTAATACTTATTTTATTACTTATAGAGTTTAATATAAAAATTTTGTAAGTACTATTTTATTCTCTTTTTACCTTTCTAGTCATTTAATAATATGCTAATGAATGCAACGATAAATTTGAACACAAGCTCTTGTGAAATAAATGTTTATCTATGGACATTTATTATACTTGTTAATTTTTATTGTTAATTAAAATCTTGTAGAAAATGTGATCTTTTAATTTATAAATTTTAAAACATTTTTTTTTAATCGTTAAGTTATACATATATTATTTATATAGCGTGTAATAAATCTCAAATCGATTGGAAAAATTAGATGGATTATTTCAATCTGCGATATTATCACTTTGACAGATTGTTTTGTAAAATGAAGTATAATGTATAGAAAAAGTTATTACCCCACCCAACAATTTGAATGACCAATACATTAGTCATTCAAATACAAATGACATTTATACTCGCGGGGATTGAATTATTTAGTCAATTAAATGGAATAATAAATTCATTTAACGAGTTAGTAGCTGCGCAGTGAAAAGTGTAGAAATATGAATGCACTAAATTTAATGTCAAACTCCGAAGCGGCCTGGTAATTTCTTTCTTCTAATACACGCTTTTGCCCGAGAGGTGTGGCCGCTTTATCCCGAAAGCATAAAGTATAGCAAAAACTGCAATTTACTTGATTTACTCGCGGAAATGTACGGTGTCACGATACGGTGGTGCCGTTCGTGCAAAGTGAAACATAATGGAAGAAAATCGTAAAATGCTGAAAAAGAAAAATGTGATACGTAAGAAGATGAAGATACATAGGACAAGATAGGAAAAGAAGAAATAAAGGATAGATTGCTCGTAACTGACAAGCACGAAGCTAATAAAAACGACCAAAGCAATATTGCGCCATTAAGAAAGCTTTCGAGCGATATGAGTATCGCGTACCGCAGATTCGTGCCTTGAGAACTCACTTTTGCAAATGCGAGAGCGTGCGGTTGCGCTAATTTCGGCGAAGTTAAACCCGCTTTTCCTATCCCAGGTTCTATCGGTCTCATGGCGGGATTATCCGTATGTAAGGTGTAATTTATTCCGTCGAAACCTCCCAGTTGCAGTTGCAAATCTGTAAAATACGTTAATTGCATTATGCCTGTGTACAAAAAAAGTTGTTGAATAAACGAGTCCTTAAACATAATGGCGGTCGAATTATTATATAAACTCGATAAAAAGATAATAATTATAGTAGTAATAATAATGTTTCCATGTTGGGTAAAATTTCATCTCGAGCCAGTATCATACAACATTTCCTATTTGCATCTCATAATTTTCGTATCAAGATTTGAAGAATTTTACAGATAAATTCTTGCCAAAATTGAAACGCGTTATATCACTCCGTTATTCCATTAAATTCCGGAGCGCTTTTAACGGATTACTATACCTTCAGAGAAATTCCAGGGTGTTACGTTAAAATGTATGTTACGGTCGAAACCGAAGATGGAAAACTTACTTAGAGTATAGTACTAAGATACCTGTGGGGTACCATGGATTTCTTGCCTCTTGAGTTGATCGTAATTGTTCCACGTGATGTAAAGTTTGCCCAAAGTTCAAAGTTGGTATGCTCGCAGGTATGTCCATCGTCATGCTACCAGGTATGCTCGTTGATATGCCACCAGTTATGCTTCCAGATATACCATTGGGTGTATTTGAAGTCAGACTGTTTGGTATGCTTGCTGTGAAGTCCACAGGTAAATCTATGTGAGTGCCTGTAGTAAAATATAAATAAAAGGCTGCAGTATTCGCATTAAGTATCAAATTCCTCTGAAATATTAATATTTATGATCTCACAAAATTGAAGAAATTGACAAAATAATCCCCCTTGTGATAAATTTATAAAATTACTTAACGAAATGTAACAGTCGCAATAATATAATTACATGTTTGTTCCTTTGATATCGTTACCTTGTATTTAAAAAAAGAAAAGCCATGTACATTATTAAGCTTTAGATTATCAGCTTTAGATTATTTATATAACATAATTATAAAACATAACCATATCACATACCTAGCAGTAACTTGTTCTTTGCTACCGCGTTGGATGTCATTATAGATTTCAAGGGCAGCGTTGTGGAAACGTCATTTTTAATTTCTATTGGCCAAGAAATGGGCGCGATAGGTATATTCGGTAAAACGCGTTTCATCTTCGAGTTTAGAGACAGCGGAGCATAGCCAGAAGATATTTCTGGTTCTGAGAATTGCTGCAAAGGCCAATGGTGTTTAACTTTCACAGGCAGCGTGTAGTCCATTAAGGAGGTCTGAATATCCTTCAGGCCAGCTTTGTGCTCTTCCGGGAGAATGTAGTTTAACGTGGAGCTTTGGGTTTCAACGTTTTTGAGTGCTTCTGGCTCTAGGAATTTAACGTTATGCTCGTTGATCTTGAGGCTCGTCGGTATATGTGAAGACGTATGAGCGTGCATGTCGCTATTGTCACTCAGAGTACGAAGAGGATATGTGATAGATCCATGTTTAGTAGCATGAAAATAAATCGGTTCAAGGACGCTAAATCAAAGAGAAATCAAATTTAATTAACATAATTATTTTATATAGATTAATTAGCGCGGTTAGTTTTTCTTTATATTCTCCATTTTGCATCAATTATGAGAATTATTAAGAGAAATAAAATAAACTAGTAAAAAAAATAACAAGAGTTTATGTTAGGATATTCACAAAGACTATCAGTAAAAACACAATGAAGAAAGAACGTTGCATTCAACATTTTTTAATTTTACAAGAAATAAAGAAAATATATAATCTCAATGCATAAGCAACATTTTTATATTAAATTTTTATATTATCGCTTTTTATGAATGATAGTTGCAACATTTTTTTAGGGAGTCTTTCAATTGGAGTGAAGAATATGTAAATTATTTAGAGATACAACTTTCTTATTACTACTTTAAGTTCATAATTTTACAGACTGTGGCAATAAAAAATTATTAAACAAAATAGAAGTAATTACGGTAAATAAATATTGTCTGAAATATATTTGAAATTATATTAATTTTACGCATAGCTTTGCAATGACATAGTGCGATCGCCTCAGGTCCATGGTATGCGAATGACATTCTTGTCCAGCAATTGACTTAACTTTACAAGTTTAGTTTACTGCATAGTTACGCTCTATGTAACCAACGTGGCAGATAATAAACCTCCGGTCAGCCGTTACGTACTTTCCGGACGGCGCTATTGATGTTGCCAGGACAGGCGAACTGGGCTTGGTTGTTAAACTTGTTAAGATGTGACCTACAATCGAGGATTGGTTTGTGCTAACTGAGATTGATGGAACAGTTGTTGGTAAGCTGTCAACTGGCTAAAAGCAGAACAAACATTTATTAGTTCTGCGCGCCGCTGATTCGTATCGATATATTTTTTCAGTGCGTTCACTCTTGTTTATCATACATTTTGTAATCTTCAATGTCCAATAACATATTACAGTTACATACCGCAATTATTAATATAAAATTATATAAGAAAATTCGCTAGTCTTATGTTTATTCAGTACCTAGATGGTCGATACAAATATCGTTAATAATAGCTTTAATAGTAAATGGTACGTAAAATATATGCATAAGATACACCAAGAAATAATAATATAATGTATAAATTTACATGCAATTGATATTATAATACATGTTTACGCAACATTGCAATGATTGAAGTAAAATAAAATTGCATAAAATTGTGTAATATTAAGTATAAAATTATGTTTTTAAATTTTATCCGTTTTGCGCAAGTTATTCTAATTACAAGTAGAAATACGTAACACAAAACTTGATATGGTTGACAGAATCGAAATGGTTTTCATTTACAATTGCAACTATATTCATTGCAAAAATAGATAGGTACGTAAAATTTTTGGCGAAATAGATTTTGCCTTCGGCTGAGTATCAGATTCAACAGACAGGATTAAATTTTGATTATATAATACCTCGCTTTGTAAAATCGAAATATCAGCTGTCATAGATTTTGCTCACCGCATTACAGTTGCTGATCGACGTTAGCGAGTTCCATCTCGGACCGAGTTTCACCTTGGAAGCTTCTGAGGAATCGCTCATACCAGAGGAAACAGAAGACATGGCAGAATTATGTCCGTGCACAATAAAAGGCATTGATGATTGCGTCGTGGGCGTCTCGGCGTTTAACGGAAGATACTCAGAAGACGGAACCATCAGCACCGAAGACAGTTTAGGCACATGATTGTCTATGAAAAATATAATTATCATACGAATAGCGTAGATACAATTTACCGTAAAAAAATGAGGGGGTAACCACTAGCTGAAATATTGTCCCATCGATTATATGATTTCATATGACTTCATCTGATTATAAATAACTTTTTCCACTACATATGAAATAATTTGGTAAAATACACGATTTTATTTAATATTATACAATGATTTCTTGTGGTTGCATATGTAATTATCGGATTATACATAGAGATTTCATATGAATTTTATAATGATTTCGAGGATTCTGTCCCACGATTACATTAAGTTACCCCCTCGTAAAAAAATTCCCGAGACATCAATGAGCCAACGTGATGATGCTATCCTGAACGAGTGAAAAAAACAAAATTGTCCCCTGAGAATAATTCATTATTTTTTAGTTCGAGGGTTGATGTTATATACAAGAATCAGTAGAGATTTAACGTGATAGCTGAAAATTATTCTGCAATAATTAAGGCGATGTAATCAAGTTAAAATTCTGAGGGGACAAATTTGTCTAACGTCTCAACTAATAAATTGTTTAATGATTTAGTAGAAAATTCAATATCGAGTTTTTCGCAAAACAATTTGCGCGAGTTAAATTAGAAGGGAAAAAATTTAATTGTATCTATTTTATCGGAGAAAAATTTTCTCTCTGATGTAAAATTATTTTGGTAAAAATTTTTCTCAAAATTTTTCAGAACTTTTATAAATTTTAGAATTTTCTTTTAATTTTTATGTAAATTTAAGAATTTTTTAGACTTTTAAAATAATTTTATAACTTTTTTAGAAAACTTTTCTAATTTTTTACTAATTATAACACTTTTAAATGCTGAGAGAAGTCTATATATCTTTTTTAAAATTCTTTATACATCTGAATTCTGAAAAATATTTTAAAAGATAGAAGATTTTTAAGATTTCCCATTCTATAATTTCTGATTAAATCTTATAAAATCTTTCCAGAAATTATAAAATAAGAAATCTTAAAAATTTTAAAGTTTTCAGAATTCATATATATGAAAAATTCTAAAAAAAGTTATATACTTTCTTAATATTTGTGAAAAATGTTCCGTATAAAAATTCTGAAAAAATTTGCATTAGAATATATAAAGAGTTCCCATCATATATCTTCGAAATTGTGTAACATCTGTGAACTCACCGTACTTTGTATGTATCAAAGAATTCCCGTCAAACGAAGTCAATAAATTTTTATATCGCTCGTACAAATCGATTGGTTTAATGTAAGAATTATCTCGATAAAATTTGACCGAGTTGGAGATGGATGGAGATTCAACGAAAGCCTTTTGCTTTTGAAGCGCTTGTTCAGCCGAGGATGATTGTCCGCGAAATAAGTTTTTAAATGGTGTTTCAGTTGTAAACAACTGTTCTTTGAATGGTGCTTGGCTACCGTATGTCGACGTTTGTCCCTCGGAGATTTCCTCTGGTGTAAGCCATTGTTCTTCGAGAGGATTGTCTGTGAGGACAGTCGGTTCTCCACGCAATTGTTGATTCTTTAATATTGCGTCTTTGTACAATAGTTTATCTCTAAACGATGTTATCTTAAAGGAATTCTGTTTGATCGGTTGATGATGAAAAACTGTTAAGCCGGATGGATAGATGGCTCGATTTTTTAAGGGTACATCGCGAAAGGCTCGCTGGCCAGTAGTTTGATCTCTCACTGGTACAGCGGCTGAAATTTGCAGACCGATCGTTTTGTCGATAAACGGTTCATTCAGAAAGAAATTCCGCGAATGTGATTCACGATAAGACGTGACGTCCACATTGGAAGAACCGTCTCTTTTAATATCGTACGCTTCCACAGATATCAACGTCACAGCGATGACAATAGTCTGAAGACAAATAAAGACATTCACGTTTAGAAATATCATGATCACGCTGACGATTTTCACGATGATTTTTTAAAGGCTCACCAAGACTTGCATTTGGTACGTCATAGATGACCGTGTGTTTTAAAATTAAAAAATTTACGTGTTAACTTCCAGTACCAGCAAATTTTAACGGTGACATTGAAGATCGAACGTAATGACTACAAGTGTAAGTGATTGAGATCGACAGTCTTATATAGGATCGATGATATCTCTTTCTTTTCCAGTTTTTCACCCTTCCTTTAGCAGTGTAGGACTGGTCTGGTAAAACACGTCTACAACACTTGGCATACTTTTCTTCTTTTAGAATTTGAACTTATGAGTTTTCTATATACAAGATGCGATATAATACCATAATTTTATAAGTTGCGCATTTTCTAGGAAAGCATATTAAACTTAATATGTATTAATATTTCGATTGTTTTATTATTCCATTAGAAATAATATTTTATTAAAAATATTGCTTTTAAAATTTAGATCTTGGCTCTCAAAGGAAATCTAAAACATTTAATTCTAAAGCATATAACCAACTTGTTTTTAAATATATAAAGATATTTTTTTAAATAAAGTGATTTGAACGACTATTTTTGAAGAATTTTATGAGAAAAAAATCTTATATAATTAACTTTAAATTTTAAGTGTATTTTAAGAGTATTAAGATTATCATAATAAGGTTATATATTGATATACTTTTTTAATGCTCACTAACTACTTGAATATTAAGAGGAATAAGTATACTTTCTTCTCTGTAAATCATTTTTATTTTTTCTTGAAACTGTATTGAACTTTTGCTAAGAATATAAGAATCTGAAATGGCTAAGAAATTTCTTCCATCGTACGGATTGAAAAGAGAAATAAAGATACACTAAAAGAAGAATTGCGCTCGCTACTCCGCGTTTTAAGTGCAAGAAGGAGCCACGTCCGCCTCGAGGTTCTTCGAAGGAAATTGCTCGCAATAGATGCGGCCAATTGCAAAGGCTCTTTACGCACAGATGAATTTACTTTAGGTATGTATCATTTCAAAGGAACTCGTTTTCCACTAGATCTTTCGACTTTCACTTGGAAGACAAATTGGGAAAACTGGGGGGAGGGAGGTTTATACTGAACTTCAACTTCAAGTCCGAGATTGAAGAATGAGAAACAAACGAAAGAAAAAAAATAAAGAATGTCTTCTTCTCTAAGTAGTGTGCTGCGCGAAAAAGCCATCTGCGTTTCAACGTTTCACGTGCAAAGTTTATCTTACTTCTCGTCTTATGAGATGCGGATCCGCCGCTTTCTTCGTGGCGAACGGGCAAAGCAATAATCAACGAGCTAGAAAAACGAGATTAACTTTTTCTATCAGTTCGATCACTCTTGTGAAGTACGTTTTCCTTTCGTCACATCATTCTAATCGAGAATACCTATGTGTTGAACGTTGAACTTAATCAAATTTTTCCGAAGTTACGACAATTATAGAGGAAAGGTTACTATTATTTTATTAATATAACGCTCCAGATTTTTAAAATTTAATGTCAATTTAATAATCATTTTGGAAATAAAATTTGTTATTATCAAGAAAAATACAAGAAAATTAACATATTTAAATAAATATCTACTGCTTAAAATATAATTTGTACATTTATATTTGTAATTTATAATACACATGATTTTTTATTTTATATATAACTAAAGTATAATACATATTTATATTCAATAGCATATGTATATATTAAGACATAAGTAAAAACAATTGTTCAATAAGAGTATAGAGATATAAAACTATAAACAACAATAAACAACAGAATTTTTTAAATGTTCAACCTATTGAAGAAATTTGTACCATGATTTTTAAATATTCCTTTTAGAACACGTTAAGAAAGATGTAGAAAATATAAAAAACCGCGCGATAAAGTATCGATTTTTTTTAATGGATCATTTATTTTAAATGAAAGACGGGTCATAATTCATTTTATAATTTATCCATATACAAACTCGAGGGCTAAGCTGGCGGTATAATTTTTATTACTTCCTTACTGTCGCCTCTTTAAACCTCTGCGGACGTTCGGAACGCCCCGGCCATCCCTCTAACACCGTGGAAACTTACGATCGTATTTCACGCGTTCATGAGGGCTGCTGCTTGGGGATACTAAAACATTACTGTTTATCGAAGGTCGGCTTAAGAGCGGTACCATGAAAATTATTATGGGCTGTCTTTCGAAACGTTCAAGCTGTAAAGGTGAGCAAAGGCACCTGGTGTATCTATATCAGAGTTGTCACGAGGTTTCTACACTCCAGTGCATGTGGAAGAAACTTAAAAGACTCGTATTAAAGATAACGATACATAAAGAAAATATGCGTGCAATAGAAGTTGAAAATCGAGGGAATCGACCAATCAAAGTGTAGTTTGAAGTTTCGAATAGCAGACATTCTCGGGGATGCTCAATCGTGACTATTTGAGTCGCTCAAGTTGCATTGCTTGCGTTTATTTTTATGACCTTTATCATTTCGCGAATCATTAGTAGTTTCTAAACGATATAAAACAATCAAAGCTAATCTATCACATAGTGATAGCGCATACTGCGGTACTCTTAAACAGAACACGCGAGCATGTTAATGAGTTTCTGCGAACCCTCCCATAGGCACGAAACATTTAATACGCCGCACGTGAATTCGATGCATTTGTCGATTAATGCACATAAAAGTATTTTGGAACGCATGTACAGAAACTTTAATACGCTACAAAACAGACGTGCACGCAATTACGAGTTCAACTTTTTACGAAATTATTTATTGTTTGGACATCCCTATACTTGTGTGTATGAATTATTTAATAATATTGTTATGTTTTATATTTTAATAACAAATTTATGAAAAGTAACATTGAAATTGTAAAAAGACGTAATATTGATGCGAAAGATCTTCATATTTATGTGATGCTTCTCGTTAATATGAACATCTCGTTATATTAAATTTTGACGCATCATTTAATTATTATTTTGTATTAAATTAAATGATACGTCAACGTTAGATTACTCATTAATGTACATATTTTTCTTATATTAATTTTAATACGTCGAAGCGTGTGCAAGTTTTTAAAGATACAAGATAAGAAACGCAAAAGGTATTGTAATATCAAAATTATAATATAATAATATAATAGTTATTAAGTACAAATGTTACAACTGAATAAATATTTCATACTGCAAGTTAATCCGATTGCAATAGCGTTCCAACTTTAGCAAAGTGCTGATATTGTCTGTATTGAAAAATATTGAACTTCTCGGAAAAGTCCATTACATTACGTACAACTGTCAAAGTGGGATATACTGGGCGTATTGATATCGTAGGTAAGTTAATATTCACGCTGTAGAAAAGCCAGTATCACATTTTAAAAATATCGTGTATATCCATATAAATCCGAATATAATGGAAAAATGAGGATCGAGTTAGAAAATGGTTTGCATAAAATATTAATAACATACAAGGGAAAAGCAAAATTTATTTATTTACACAAAAGACATGATATTTAATTTCTTTATTATTCTGCGTGCCATTGTTAATTGATAATTAGCTAAACCGTATACGTAAAATCTTTTAATTTTAATTTTACTGATAAATTTTTTAACATTAGTGCAGAGTTTTGCGATTATTAAAGACATTAAAGACATTAAAGAAAGTCTGTACTTATTGTTTTCTAATTTCTAGCATTTTACATTTTGGAATTAAGCACTTAAATTAAACATTTATTAAATAAACATTTAATTAAACTATGATGTCTGGAAACATTCGGTAAAGAAAACTGAATTTTAAAATTCATCAATTTATCATTATTATTAAATTACGTCGTCAACACAAGTTATAAGATACACAAATTATAAGATGACAAATTATAACTAACTATAATGAATACTTATAATTGTTTATAGGTAAATATGATTCATATACATTCTATAATGTAAGTAATTTTTAGAGTAAATTTTTCATAGGTAACTACTTCATAGGCTCATTTAAATTAGTATGAAAATTTACCATAAAAGCTTTTAACAGAATTGCAACCGCGGACTACGCACCATTTGTTTATGAAATTCATATACAGCTGCGAGATGATATAAGGTTTTTATATCATCTCGCAGATGATCTTTAGTATTATTGCTATACAGTCTAAAAGCATCATTAATAGTATCATTTTTCAATGATTCATACATTAATGATGCATCTCCTTGGAAAACCTAATGATGATAAAATAACATCTCAATGATGATATTTTTATCTTAAAAAACAATATTCAAATAAAGAACCACATTTTAACTTTAATTTTATTTTATCTTTTTATTTTCTGTCTTTTATAGAGCATGATAGAATTATCGAGACGTGACGTTTACTATCTAAATAAAATAATAGATAATAAAATTTTAATATTCATAAGTATTTAACGATCCATGTTTTTTCATATTTCTCGAAGCAAGTATACGATATTAAGATATACTATATATGTATAAACGTATATTATATGTATGAAATATGTTTAGAAGAGTTTCTTTTATTTTAAGCTGTAGACAAATATAGAAAGAAGTATAGATAAGTCTAGATAAAATTTAATAATTTATCATAAAGTTTTAAAATAGAATTATCAGAGTACATGAAGAGAATTGTAAAGTAACTGAATGATTTATTACGTGTATTTATTTTTACGCTCAAATTATACGTATATTAAAACAAGATAGTAAAAACACTTCTATTTCTTTTTTGTCTGTATTTTTTCAATACTTTGCTTTCAATAGAATCTGTCCGACTAACTAATTCCTGTTAAAGAATTCACAGAAACTTTCTTTCACCTTGGAAACTCGCTGAGTCGTCGATTTAGATCTTGGAACCTTTAGTTTCAACTTTAGTTTCGGAACAGGTATTTACTTAGGTACTTGAAGCAATTTGTTATCCAACCAATTCGCAAGTAAATGCTAGCTTTCAGCAGACAAGGACAGCACGAAAATTCATTGGCAAAGGCATCATTTAGCTGTTTTGTG